TGCGCCAGCTTGCCAAATAGCAGATCGAGACTGAACCAGGCTGCGCCAGCCTGCCAAATAGCAGATCGAGACTGAACCAGGCTGCGCCAGCCTGCCAAATGTCAGATCAGAATCATATCATGCCGCGCAGGCCTGTTAGATAGCAGTAGTGCTCGCATGATCACTAGGGTCCATCAACAGCGAGCGAAAATGCTCCAGTCCCAACATCAGTCATAATGCACAAGGACGCACATCAGCATCACGRCCGGGGTGCATGGCGACGTAGGTACCCAGATCCAAAAAGGGCGCGGACGTGAGTCCAGAATTAATCGTGGCATCTACAAAATCTCCGAGACTTACTGATCATTGATCGAGCATTCAAGGAGCCAGCAGGCCCGCGGGGCTGGCCAGAAAAAGGTGAGCGAGAGAGGGGAAAGAAGAGGGAGAGCGGAGGGAGCAGAGAGAGGGAGGTAAGAGAGGAAGAAAAGGAAAAGTCAAGTGGCCCTAGTAGAAACGAGGACTGTCACTCTTCCCCAAGCAGTCCCGCCCCTTTACCTCCTTCTTGCTTGCCTTGATCTCGCTCCTTCTCCTGCTTGCTCCAGCGTAGCGACTTCAATTCTTCTCCCTTGCCGTTCCGCCAGCGCTTCCACATTCCCGCAAGTGAGGCTCCTTCTCCCAAAGTGGCTCGACCGCTCTTTTATAGTGAAGAGGTCGGGTGATCGGGCAAGGTGCAGCAGTCCTTGGGCTAAAAATAGTACAGGCCTGTGCGAAAATTAGCACAGGCCTAAAATTAGCACAGGCCTGCGCTAAAATTAGCGCGGGACTAGGACAGTCCCGACTTTGGGACACGAACCGTCAGTCCCATGTTAAAAATAGCACGGGCCTGTGCTAAAATTAGCGCGGGACTGCGCTAAAATTAGCACGGGACTGGGACAGTCCCGACTTTGGGACACGAACAGTCAGTCCCGAGTTATAAATAGCACGGGCCTGCGCTAAATATAGTGCGGGCCTGTGCTAAAATTAGCGCGGGACAGCGC